CACGAGCCGACGAGGATATAGCCCTGGATTCGTCCCGCTTGCGTTCATCCGCTCGGCTCGGCTCCGCAGCGAGCACCTCCGCTGCCGCCACTACCACCGTCGCTACTACCACCACCTCCACCTCCTCCTTGGCCACCACCTGCCGCGTTGCGAGACGCAAGAGGAAGAAGAGGAGACGTCAGCGACCTGCTGCGAACAACGACGACGAAAGCAGCGTCGCCGTCGCTTCTCGCAGCGCTATCACCTCGAGCGGTAACGTCGCCGTAGCCGAGAGTAACTCGGCCGACGCCGTCGTCCTCGAGTCCGACGTCGACGCCGTCGACGCCGTCGTCGCCGCCAACGCAGCCACCGCGGGGACAGACTCGGCGGCGGCGCGGGTCGATAAACCGAGGAGCCGCCTCCTCGTCGAACAGCACACCGCTAGCGGAGACACCCAGCCACGCGTCGGAGGAAGCGGCGCGCGTGCGGCCGCCTCCTCCGTCGGCACCGCCGGCGTCACGCTTCTCAATCGACGCGCCGGCAAACGCTCGCCCCGGCGATGCAACGCCGCCGGCGGACGTAGGAGCGCGATGACGATGGATCTCCAGCGGCTGATTAACGAGGTGCACGCGAGACCCGCAATCTGGGACCAGAAGAACGTCAACTATCACAACCGCGATGTCATACTGAAGATGTGGCGGGAGATCGCGAGGGCCTGCGAGGTGTCGAGTGAGTATGAGTAGTCGAGCGAGACCCGTTCGACGGATGTTCCTCTCCTACCCGCGTATTCGCTCCTGCGATCATACATCTGTATATGTTGCGCGCACGTGCACGTATGGGTGGTTGCTTGTCGGGTGGGTGGATGGGGGGTTGGAGATAGGGGGGTGCGCTGGGTACGAGTCGATTGGCTGCTAGGATCCGTACATTGTTGCTCGCAGGTTTCGTCACCTCGATGTTGCTCGAAATACCTTGCTGCACGGAGCGAATTGCGACCAAGGTCGAGGAGAGAAGGATCGCGAGAAAACGAGACGTCGGTAAAATCGAACGACGAAAAATCGAATTACGCCACTAGCTGGAATCGCTCGCTGGAAGGTCGATAGCTCCCGCGCCTCACGAAACGAAAAGCCGACCGGAGGAAGATAGTTACTAGTTCGCGCGTATCGCCGCCAGGTCGCACGCCGGTATTTTCACGACGAACCGATATCAATTTTTTTCACGATCGTGTTTAGCACGTGGTCGCGGCACGCTAATATCTATCTCACGTCGAGCACGTGTAAGGCCGATTACTATAAGGCGCTTAATACTTGTGTCGATGGAGAATGGAGTACGTTGCGCGATCAAACGTATTCAGATGAATGATGTCGATTTGCATAAATTTCGTTATATTTTTTCTAGATTTCTTTTTGAGAAAATTTTATGATCCCGCATATATCGCGTGGCTAAAAATCGCAAACGTTGCAACAAGTAGCATGTAAAACTAAATTTTGGCAGAGGAGCGAGCGAGCATATTTGTCGTCAGCGGTCGTCCTTGCTTTAAGTCACGCTATAAAAATGCGATCGCCGCTCTGTTCCAGCGGACGTCGCCAAGTCCAAGTGGAAGCACCTACGCGACAATTTTCGGAACGAACTGAAGAAGACCTACCGGGGTAAATGTGACGGTGTCGGTGGCACCGAGCACGATTCCAAATGGGTCTGGTTCAAGAGTCTGTTCTTTCTTCGGGACCAAATGAACTCCAGGGTGATTGGTTGCGCTCTGTCGCAAAATTGCGTCGGTATGCGCTCGTCGCCGGACGGCACGCAGATAGAGCCGCAGATCGACATCCTCGAAGGCCACGAAGAGACGCAGTTCGAAGATCTAGACGGCGACTCGTGCCAGTCGTTGCTATCCAACGACGACGGCTTGCATCAGGTGATGCCGCCGCCAAAGATGAACAAGATAATCGGCCGGAAGCGGGCGCTGATGGACGCGATCGACAACGATTACGGCATAGAGATAGACCGGAAGCGGTACGAGTCGCTGCAGAAGAGACTGGCGATCGGTTCCGAAGACGAGGACGACACTTATCACTTTCTAATGAGTGTCCGGAATCCTCTGAGAAGTTTGCCGCTCGACAGGCAGATGTTTGTCCGACTTAAGATTCAGGAGCTGGTCTACAACGAGATTAACTCGCAGAATCAACAGCCGCAGACAACCAGCCGCGGCGTTTATGATGCATCCTCGCAGAACCAAGACGTGAAGCCGCCGCGGACGGGTAACGGTGGAAACGGCGTCGTCGGCGACGTCGTCAGCGACATGTCGAATCCGGCGTCGTTGCTGCAAAACTGTACGCCCGAAGGTTCCAGCGATGACGCCTTCTTCGGCTGACGACAGTTTGTCGCGGTTTAATTCGCGTGCTTATAGGCTGTATGGATGATAATTTTATTAATAGGGAATAAACGATGATATTTTTTCAATAATATTCGCGTAGTCTCCGCGCAGTCTTTCCGATCCTCATTTCCCGCATAACGATAATTCCACCTCAAATATCCTGCGCATTCCTTTTCATCATTAATTCATACAAGAAAAAGTTTAAACTTTTGCACAATGATAAACCTTTCATAAATTTTCAAAGTCAGCTAAGAATATCGTAATTTTAAAATTGACATGTTTACATGTAGCTGAATAATGAATATCTGCGTTTAAGTAATTGAAAGGATAACTCTGACAATAAATCATCATCTCATTTGAGAAATCGTAAGCCTTCTGCGAAATAAGTTGACGAGAATTTCGTTTGACAAACGACCATCACTCGACATATTTTTATCTTTGTGACGGCAATATTTCAAATATCTTCATTTTTGTCGCCGGCCGGCTTTTTAATTAATGAAGCACCGGTCGTCGGCACAATTAGTGTTATTAGAGCGCGCCTCACCTACCTACATCGTGGCGGAAGCGTAATTATATTTTGTTGCGGTGGTTGACTTCCTGGCTCGCATATCGTCGCGTTTCTCACTCTTTCTGATTAAAAAAACCTAGCTCGGCGGAAAAAGCCGCGAGCGTGTGCGTCACGACGGAGCTGACCCGACACGATGCAACCCACGATCAGCGGAGACACAAATATAGGAGGGTGCATTGCCCTGACCACACGAGGAGTCCGGTAGGGTGCAGAGTCAACCAAATTTACCAACATTGGTGTGTCTCACGTTCATTAATCCTTCGCTACGAAGCGCCAAGTGATCGCAATCGGCTAATTTACTACTACGAATTTAACGTCGCCAAAATTCGACATTCTAACGGGAGAATGAGATCTTTTCACTGATAAATCAATTTAAAATATTTTATATAATTACTTATATATAAATTATAAATAGTGAACGATCTGTTTATGATATTATCGGGACTTAATATATCTTAATATATGAAAGAGAGATATGTTAAGTTATCACATATATAAACAATATATCAATTCCTTAAATGTCTCTTTACTTTTTGACTTTATTCCTTGTAAATTTAATTCAAATAAATTGATTCCGTTTTTTAACGAAATTATTTGAAGTAAATGACGTTATAGTTTGAGAATTTCTCTTGTTCGTTACAATATATTTTTTCGGCTCAAATGTACATCGAATAAAAAACGGGGGCATGTAGTTACACAACGTTACTTCACCCTTCACGATAGGAGTGGAATATAAAAACAGAGTCATCGTTCCCCGAGTCTGTTGATGGGTGAACATCGATCACTTAACGGTCAGGCTTGGACAGCGCATATCGATCATATTTCGTATAAAAAATATCTCAACTTGTCACACGATGATCAAGTATCGATACAATGATATTGTTTTGCAGAGATTAATCATATATTCAAATCCAATATTAATATTATCTTGAGTGTTTTGGAACATAATTGATCTATTTTTAATTTTTATTATCATGGACGATTTATCACTAGTGAAATTTCACAGAATTGATTATTTCTATATAAATCTGCTTTGCCCTAAATTGATTTTGCAACAAGCTGGTACATTATCGCCGTCAATCCAATTAATGCAAATTTCACGACTCGATTAGCAACGATACTTCATTCAATTGCATTATACTGACGTCGCAAGGCTAATGAACAGTCATTACTGTCCGACCGTTGGATAATGGGCGATGGATATTGCGGCGGATGGGCGATATGGAAGCGCTAATTTTGTTGTCACACCGGGTATACGCTGAAATGTAATCCGCGTGTATGCGCTCCCTGACGCTCGGCTGCGTGTTTGCGCGCACGCATGCATTGTCCGCGTGTATCGCGGCGTTTGCATCGGTAAAGCTTTTCATGAGGCTATCGAGTATGTTCCGGCTCGGCATTCATTGCTCTCACTGGTATACCGAGTGGGCTGATTAATCGCAGACCCTCGAAAACATGTTCGCGTTACATTATTATTCGCCGCGCGGAATCCCGCGAGTACGTGTTTTTTTTCACAATAACACTCGGGATTGAAAAACAGACATTTCCAATGATATTTTTATTTCGAGCTAAAGTCGAATTGGAGAAGAGATCGATGACAATTTATTAAAACATTTTAATCTAAAGGGGACACTATAACTTAAAACTTTTTGTTCGCTATTAGAGTTTTATGTTGTCAGAAGTCTTAACATATGTTATCATAATCGCTTTTTGTTTTTTTGCATCATAAAAGTTTAAAATCTTTTTTACGTTATTAAAAAAAAAAACGCAAATATCGTTATAAAGTTAGAATGCTCGAGAATAACTTTTTTCAAAGAAAGAAAGAAAACTTTGTTAACTTTAATTTTCTCGACTTTAAAAGTAAATGTTCTGAAGAAAATGGGCTATACCATCGTCAGGCAGTATCCCTTATTCAGTCTACCGCGAAGTGTGTTTCAACACGTGGTGCATGCAAGCACCGCGATACGGCACTTCGGATACAAACTTTCCAACTTGTCAGAGAGAGGCAAGATGTGTATTTCAACGTAACAGCGAAACAGAATGACGCACCCCCACAACGCCATCGCGGAATTCTTGTCTCCATTATGGGCCAGCTCGTATTGACTAGAATCGTGCGATATACCTCGATGCACCGTGACAGTGTTACACGCTATAACGGCGTGATGCCACTGACACCGCGCACGGTCCGCTGAATGCGATGTATTGTGTGATGTCCCGTCGTGCTCACGCGAGCCGTCCCGATAACGTTGTCCGTAGCTCCTGAGTGAGTTTGCACCAGTTTCCCGAGGTGGTTGCACCGCGCGCGCCGCTACCGGTTATTGGACGTCGATGCGACGACAACGCGCGCTTTGAATTTAATTAAACCAGGTTATTAAGGGACGGCGATGCGACAGAGCGGAATGGACGACGAAACGGCCGAACGCGCTTTAAATGTTCGAAACAGATCTTGCACTTGTACAAGTAATTTCATTCGTGAATTCTCTCTAGAATGGCTTATCTCTTGTAAAACGAACAAAGTTACTTTGATTGTTCTCTTGATTAATTTCTAATACAATAAGATATTAATATTTAATTTTAATCTACTAATTTTGTAAGAGAATCTTTTTTTTCTTTACAAAAGCACTTTTATCTTTCTTTCATTTCCAGGCAAAGTGAACAACATGGATTTCATATACCACATTCACCTTCCACATTCATTCGTCTGCATTACTACTGGGTCCTTTCCGCAAAAGCGACATAACGAGGTAACTTTTCGTCCGGTTAGAACGGTCACTGTCGTCTAGACGGGACGCATTATATTAACACGGTATATTGCACCGACTGAATGGTTTATTCGAAAGCCTCGCACAGTCTATAGAGCCGCTCTCTCAGTTTTTCCATACAAAAGGAGATTAGCATCCTCTCCTCTTTATCTGCCTCGTTCCTCCCATCTCTGTCCCGATCTCTACAAGTAGTTCAGCATAAGCCGTACATTGTTACTGTTCCGTCAGTTAGATTGCAGCGATATTGCGTAACACGAGAATAGGAATGCAAGCAGTTAACCCTTTAAAACTCAACACATACATATTTTAATACGTGAATTGATTATATAATCAATTATATAACAAATCTTTCTTCACAAGTTCTAATATATTTCGATGAAATAAAGTATCGCCGGATTGAATATATTTTAAAAACTTACTTTTTCAATCGCTCTTTGAAAAAACTACAATTCTTTCTATCGTCTGCAATTAGTCGCGAACGGAGAACATGTTTACTTTCCACCTTGATCGCGCCGACAAAGTACGGAAACGAGTCCGGTGGACTGTCTTTGATCACAAAGCGAAATGCAATCACTTCTCATCTCTTTTTTCTATCGTGTCCGGCCGGCATGTTCGATGAAAGAGTTCATCCTCTGTAACCCGAGGCTCTACGTTCAATATCATCTATTTTATTTCACTTTTGGTGAAATAAATCTTGCGACGGAGCAACTACATACAAGGCGCTTAGTTTTATGGACACGATATATCGCATTATTATGTAGACATAAATTATACTAAATTATATTATGTAGACATAATTATAGGATACAGAAAAATCTCAAGATTTTATATTTCCAGA